TGTACAATTTGCCTTTCCATATATCTTCAAAAGTAGAAAATATAAAAGAAACATTGAAAAAAGAAAATACTTAGGAATAAATCTAATAAATAAATCTAATGTGTGTGAGTTCTCTTTGGAAAAATTATAAAATGTTATTGGGAGATATTGGGGAAGACAAATCAATGTAGAGATTAATTATATTCACTCAGAGAAAGGCTTGGTGACATAAAGTTACAAATTTACCATAAATTAATGAATAGACTTAATAAAATTCCAGTAAAAAAAATCTCAAGAACTTTTTTGTGAAGTGGGGCAGGAGTGACTTGACCAGCTGCTTTAAAAATTATAGGGAAACGCAAACATTTAAGTATAGCCAATATTTTCTTGATCACAAAAGAAAAAGGTGGGTGACTTGTCCTGTCAGATATCAAGATACATTGTAATGCTAAAGTTGATAAGCTCAAGTGTGGTATTTTTCTGAGGTAGACAAAGTTGACCAGTGAAGCATAACAGAGATCCCAAAACACTTCCATGCATATAAGGAAATCTACTAGATGATACATGCATGCTTTTGGATCATTGGGGAAAGGATAAATTATCCAGTAAAAGGTGCTGGGGCAACTGATTATCCATATAAAAAAAATTGGATTCCTATTTTACAATGCACACAAAAGTTAACTTGAGATGAATAAAGACTTAATTGTGAAAGGCAAACCTGTACAATATTAAGGAAACTGTATGGGAGTGCATCTTACTGAACTTGGAGTAGGAAAGGATTTCAAAATGTTCAAAAACTCGCTAATTTAGAACACCTTAAAATTTAGAATATGTGTTCATGAAAAGACATCTTGAAGAAAGTGAAAACACAAGTAATGAAGTGGGAGAAGTTATTTGCACACAATAAACAGACAGAGGGTTAATATAGACTTTATAAAGGCTTTCTACCAATCAATAAGAAAAAGATGAATAATCCAGTAGAAAAATGGACCACATATTTGAACAGGCACTTCACAGAACAGGACTAAGGAAATAGGTTTGCTCTTATTACTAATCCAAGGAATAGGAATTAACAGCACAAGACCTTCTGGATTGATGAAAATTAAAAATCTGAAAGCACTAGGCAAGGCTGTAGAACAAAGGTGTTACATCTACAGCTGCTTTGGAAAGCAAGGGTGTTACCCAGTAAAGTGAAAGCTGGGCGAACTTTCAAAGCAGCTATTTCTAAGTTAGATGTATATCCTAAGAAATGTTTGTAAATGTGTACAAGGAGACATCCACAAGGAGTATTATAGCAGCACTATTGGTATAAAAGAACTAGAAATAATGCAAATGTCTATGAGAAGTAGACTGAGAATAAATGGTAGTATATTCATACAATGGCATATCACACAGCAGAGAAAATGAGCTATAGCTACTCACATCAGCACTGATAAATCATAGGAACATAATGTTTGGTGAAAAAAGCTGGTTGCAGAACAACTCATATGGCGTGATTACATTTGTATAAATCTCCAAACATTCAAAATTAAACCATATATTGTTCAAAGATTCAAACTGGATAAATTAATGAAGAAAAGCAAGGGAATGATAAATACAAACTCAGGCTGGTGATTATCTCTGGGTTGGGGCTGGGGTAGAGAGGAGGAGGATGTTAAGGAAGCGTCCTCAAGGGCTTCAACAATTCTTATTTTTTATTTTTTAAGCTTAATGAAGGGTACTCAGGTGCTTATTGTATCCTCATTCTTTGTATGTTAACATGTGATCAGTATTCCTTGATATCTGTTCAATATTTAATAAAAACAATCCGAAGCCTATTTGATCAATGTCCTTGGACAATAATCTCTCTCTTCTTTAAATTCTAAATGAGTTGTTGCTGTTATTAGTTGTTTTGCCACCTGTGAGTTGGGATTAAAGTAACTTCACCTAACAAAGAAGTTTGTTTAGAGAAGAAAAAGTATCCCTTCATATTGCTGGGTGTGTGTGAAATGAACGATAAGGATCGAAATCAGTGTTTTGCATATAGCAGATGACCAGAAAAAGGACTGATTTTGATTTCAAAGAACTAAAAAAAAAAAAAAAAGGTAAAATGGATTTCAAGTTCTTTTGAGCTATAGAACATCTAGTTTCAGAATTTTTGGTGGAGTTTTCCTTACACTTAATTGCACTGCCTGTCTGTAAGGTAACTTCTGATGCGCCACCACTTGAGGACTCCCAGGGAAGCCAGTGCTCTGACAGGTGTGGCTCTGGTCTTGGGAAGAGGTGGGGTGCCGTGAGGAGCTTTGGCGGCCTGTCCCTGGGGATGGCTGCAGGGGCGCAGCTGGAGAAGCCAGGATTGTAGAATGACAGGAAACTGAGGGTAGAGCAATCACTAGCACTCCGGGTAGTGCTGCCAGACAACCTAGTTAATTTATTTCCAAGTAATTAACTTGAGGACCCTAATTATCTAGGTTCATTATCAGGTATCCTCACTTTCATTATCCACATGATTACTGTCACCAAGAGCCTCTTAAGCAGAGCCATAGATGCCGTTCAAAGTCAGTTTTGAAATCTGGGTCTTCTCCTACAAGAGTCTGTGAGTTAGGCAGGGAAGATGAAGCTGTGGTCATGGAGGAGGTACAGACAGATGAACTGACATCAAGCTAAAGATGCTGGCTTAGTAGCAGATTCTATTGCTGGACTCATTGACTGTTTGCCATTCACTTTGACTTTGTAGGCCACAGCCATGCAGACTGATTTCACAAGCCTTGGCATCCTCATCCCATGAATAAAGCTTGCTGAACATGATTTACTTATAATCAATATTTTTATTATTTTCAATCTCATAGTTATTTAAATCATACTTTGAAAATAAAAAAAAGGAAGTGCTAATTTATGAGTTTCGTAGAATCTTCCTGGTGTAGAATATGAAGCTAATTATTGGCTCCCTTTAACTGTAGAAATATTGCCAATATATCATATTCACATGTATAGTATATCCTCTAATAGGCAGTTTTCAGCTCTTTTGTAACACAATTTTTCTTTTGTGGGCTTGGCTGTCAACTGCTACTCTAAATACCTCATTTCTGACAAGAGTCTATGTTAGCTGTAGGTTGCAGAGGAGAGAGTATGGCCTTGGGTTCAAATTCTGATTCTGTCTCTGGCTAGGTGTTGGACTCTTGGAAGTTATTTGAAAATCTCTGAGCCTCAGCTTCCTCATCTGCAAAATTCTTGTTTTATAAATTAAAAGAACAGTTTATGTAAAAAGTGCAGTATGCAGTAATTGCTTCTGAAATGTTAATCCCTTTATTTGTAATATATATATACATATATGTATTTAATTAAATTATTCAAGGAGAATAAACAGAAGGTGAAAAATATTTGTTCTGATGAAACCTTCAAAATCTCAGGAGCGCTGGCCATTGACAGCCACCACATGGCTGCAGGGCAACAAAGTCTTGGCCATTCTGCCATCGCTGGCAGTGGGCTTTGTTTTTTAAGGAAATAAGATTCCATACAAAGTATGGAATTTTGAAATGTATGAAATTTTAGTTTTTTAGCACAAATCTGGTTGAAGATTAGCTCAGTTGGCTTGGAGGCAAATGAAAAGTAACTTGATTAAGCATTGAGAAAAAGCATGTGAAAGCCTGGAGATGCACAAAGAGAGTAAATTTTCAGTCCATCTGCTTGTGTTCTGATGAGTGCTGGGGCTTCATTCAAACACTACTTGCCTTATGGGCTATAATTTTACTTAAATGTCGTTTCATTACTTTTCCATAATTAAGATAATGTAACATATTACAAAGCATTTGTAAAGTGGAAAAGTGAAAAGGATACTTTTCCTTCCAGGCCTTTTCCTGTGTAGATATATTTTTTGTGGTTTCAGTCAGAGTTTGTGTGCAGTTTTTCACTTGATTTTTCAGTTAATATTATGTCAAAGCATTATAAGTGTTAAGTAATATATTACATTCCAGGATTTATTTAACAGAGTTTCTATTGTGAATACGAAATTGGCTTCCACATTTTTGTTGTAGTACATAGTTATTGTAAAGGCAATTTTGCTTTCAGAATTTTTCAAAGGATTTTATTATAGGGAAATACAGATTTTAAAAGGACAAATAAAGGTACCAGCTCTCTAAACTATATTTAAGTAAACCTCCCTCAGGTCCTTCTTCTTGTGTCTAGCTCCGCTTATCAATCCTGATTTCTATCAGATTCTGCAGGCAGGTGAGCCTTGCTTAAATTTCAATAAGCTGGTATGGGCAGTTGTATTTAAAATTTAGCTTTATCAAACCCAAATAATGGAACAAGGTCAATGAGAAAGACAGAGACACAGAAGAAAACAAATGGAGAGAAACCAAATATGTAAAAATGGCCAGAGCATTTTATGAATGCATTTTCTCCCTAAACCCAAGTGGGAGGGTTGGACTGAACTGTGTAATTGTCGTTTTGTCTATTATTAATGCTGCCTTTGCCCTTTAATCTTTTTCCTTCTTTACCCCTTTCTCCCCTACCCCAGGCCATTCTTCCAAAGACTTTGAAGGTCCATGGACTTGCCCTCCTCTTTTCTTCCTCTCATAGTTTCTGCTTCCTTCCCTGCCATATGTTCAATGCCTTGAAATGCTATTTTCATTATTTTAATTCAGTATTTATTGAGTATTTACTATGTTCCAGGTACAGTGGTAGCTGCTAGAAATTAAATGGAGTAAAACACAAAGTCTGTGCTGGTCAAGAGGATAGTGGGAGGTTCTGATTGAATGGATATCTGAAGGCAGAGGTGGAGTTAGCTCAGTGGTGAGTGGTTGTGTATGTGCATGAGTGAAGGGCATTTCTGACAGGGAACAGCCTTTGCAAAGCTGCATGTTAGGAGTGAGCGTGGATGGTACAAGGAGGAGGAAGGCCAAAGTGTCACAAATATAGAGCCCACCTATACTGACACTTGCAAAGCATAAAACTGAGTTGCCTAGTGCTTTCCTGTTGGCATCCTGACTGGGCAGTAGGTTAAATGATTCTGAAAAGCACCTAGAGCCCCAGTAATTTACCTTTTCTCATCGTGTCTGTAAGATGAAGAGGTCCGGCCACTGGTCCATATAAACATCTTAGAGGATGTTGGTCCAGGTGCTCCTTTCCTTACAGTGGAAGTCCTGGAGGAATGGCGAAAAGACCTGGAAGAGGTGCACACTCAAGTTAAATCCGTTGTTTAAATTTTTGGAAACTCTGTATCAAGAGCTAGTAGCTCTCAGTGCGCTGACTCTTTTAAGTAAGACCAAGTTTCTATTGCTGTAGGGCAGCAGTTCTCAACCCCAGCTGCACTTTAAAATCAACTGGGAATCTTAAAAAACATGGAAGCATGGTCCCTTCCTCAGAAATGTGCATTCAGTTTTTAAAAAGCCTCCTAGTTGTTTCTAGTACACCGCTAGGATTGAGAGCCTCTGCTTTAGGGAAACATGGCTTTCTAATTGATGTTAGCATCATGTTCCTCCAATATGTCTTCTCCAAAAGTATAATTTTGGTGTGGTTTCATATTCTCTAGTACACTGTATTTTTCCAAAATTTTGGTTCATATCTGGGTACTAAATTCTATTTCTCCTTTCCTCTTCAAACCGTTTTCCTTGGTGCTGACAGATGTGACAAACTGGTGACCAAACATCATCTTTTCAATATACTCTACTGGTGGTCAAGCTATGGGTTCGTCCCATGGTGGCTGCGTCTCAATCTGGGAAAATCAAGCAGCCGCTGAAGCAGATGCTCTCTGGCTCCTAGAGGCCAGGTGTGTAGGATTCAGAGGCAAGATGGTAAAGGAATGTTGTATTCTTTTGTTTACGACATGGCTTAGGGATAAGGTTTTTCATTTCTAATCATAGTACAAAAATGGCTAGCTATTACTATTTATTTTCTACATAATCACATTTTAGGGAGTTAGAAACATGAAATATCTTAGAAATATTAAGCACAAATAAACATTAAAAATGATATTTCACAAATAGAATTAAGGAAGGAAGGAAGGCGACTCCTTTATGGATTCACTGTCACTTATGGCTTTCCTTTTGGTTAAGGACAATATTACTGATAAGCATGAGACTGGAAATAATATTTGTTACTATATATTCTATTGGCTACTACATGCCAGGCACTTTGTATATATAATTTATGCATATATCATGAGATGTATATACATAGGTCTATGTTAAATTATGAACACTCTGCAAGGTGGATAGTGCTGTTATTTGAAGATTACAAATGATGCTTCCAGGATATCGAGGTACTGGCTCAGATTCAGAAAAGGTGGAGTCATGCTTCAAAACAGTGTCTTCTTGCCTCCAATTCTTGTGATTTCTGGAGCACATTATGGCCTAGCCCATTAATCTCAAATTGTGATGTGCATATAAATTACCTGGGGATCTTGTAACAGTGCAGATTCTGATTCAGTGGGTCAGGATAGGGTCCAAGATTCTGCATTTCTAATAAGCTCTCAGGTGATGCTCAATTGAAGGTCTGCAGAAAACACTGAGCAGCAAGGGCTCAGAGCATATACTCAGTAAGTGGCTGATTAGAGGCCCAATTTTGTCACTAACTAGCTGTGTGGCCTTGAGAAAGTCATTTAACTTTCTAGGGTTTCCCACTCCACTTAGTTGATTTTAATCTGTAACAAAGAACGTTTGAAACAGGTAACATGTAAGATTCCTCTCAGAGCCAAGATTTGTGATTCAGTAAACTGAAGAATGAATCTAAGCATATTTTAAGTCACTATGTCTGACTTTCTGTTATAGGTCTGGGAATAGATCTCCTTCTATAGCCCCAAGGGTCAGCATCAGAGATAGAAGGAACAGAGGCCATGGGAAGTAGTAGGGGTTTGATAACCAGCACAAAGGCAAGAAGTCAAACTTCCACCTGTTTTCCTAGGATAAATGGTTGGAATGAAAGGGTACACCTGGACGGATTCCACAGACAGTTTTAGAAAAATTCTGAAGTTGAATCTGCTAGCTCTTTAAATGACTTGGATCTGGGATATTTAAACTTATGTTCCTTTTAGAATACCTTTAAAACCTATCAAATAGAATGGAGATTAAATCCATTATTAAAACTGTCAGTCTTTGGGGTATAAGAATGATTTTAATCTAAGTTGAATAAACTGCTTCCTAAGTATGAGGATGGGCTTGAACTTTCAAGCAATTATTTCACCATTGATTCTGGTGGAATCTTCTGATCACTTTCGTCACTCCTAAAATGTGGAACAGACAAAGGAAGAGAAGTGACACACTTTGAATTAAGGTAAAGCAATAAATTGCTGAACTCCTCTCTTGTTACTGTTACTAGCCAGCATTTAATAGACACACCGTACATATTGTAAATGCTTTGAAATCATTCAGAGTGGAAAGGCTGCAGTGATTTCAATACACAGGATGCTTTTCAGTCTGTGTGACATTGTTCTAGCATTACATCCTTCCTCTGTTGTTTTAAGATGGTAGGGGAGGGGAGAGATGAAGGATGTATTTATTCTGATTAACTGTCTAAAGCTTGTTGGGAAGGACTTCATGAGTCCTCAGGTTAGTCCCATAAGTTGATTTGGAGTTTCTCCACTCCTGTTTTCTTTCAGAAAGACAAACTTATTTATAACCTGCTAAGTTCATTATTAATTAAAATGAAAGGGAGTAGTCTGCTTGAAAGACAACAGTATAAATGTTCTGTGGAGGCTGAACAACTTTCCAGGCTTCAAAGAAACCCCCAGAATATGTAAAAGGAAGCTGGCTTGGAGGCACTCTCAGCCCAGAGCAGCCCTCCTGAACTCCTCAATTACCTCAACCCTGCTCGCTTTATAAGACAAAGAACATCTCATTTGAATTGTGATTAGGAAAGTGATACAGAGACAGAAAAAAGGCATTTTGTACAATTTTGTGTTGGGGATCCATGGAGAAGAGGTCTGTGCTCAGGGCTGCACAGGGCTGTGGGCAGGGGAGGAGACTGAATGTAATTCCATCATTCAATGACCTAGGTATTGGAAGGAACCTGGCAAAGCCAGGAGTCTATGACTGCAGATGAGTGTGATCTGAAAGCCAGAAGCCCTAAAAGATGCAATCTCAGCCTGGAATGAAAGCAGGGAGTCAATGAGGATGTAACCATCTCTTTGTCTCAGGAATTTGTACAGGGCCCCTTTCCAGTTTGCGAGCACATACTTCTGGGTTTCTACCTCCTCAGTTCCTGCTTTCTCTGGGCCTTCCTTCCCTGCCTGGTGAGTGAGCTCCTTCATTCCAAGACCATCTCAGACGTCACCTTTTCTGTGAAGACTTCTCTGGCTCACATGAGCAGCCTCCTCAGCTCTGCCCCTGATTCTTAGTACTTACGCTTGTTAGAGCAGGGCACAGTCTCTCCTGGTTTATGTGTACCCCCTGATAGACTGTGGGCAGGGCAGGGCAGGGCTAAGTCTTACAAATGTTTATGGCCCAATGCAGGACACACAGTGCCACACGGGATGTTTGCTGACTTGGTCCCCGAGTTTCTATTGGAAAACGGCCTCCTGCGTTGTGACTCGCTGCTGCCCGATGCAGCTGAGGCCTCCTTCCTGATCCTGCCCTTAACTGGGGGTGTTGTTCCTTCTCACTCCACTTCCCCCTCTTCCGTTTCCTCACTGCCCTGCTCCCTCTGTCTCTTTCACTGACTTGGACAGGCTGTTTCTGTAGCTTGCTGAATTACCATTCAGTAAGGTTTTCTGTAGCAAGGGCAGATGGCCTAAGGAAAACATGAGCAGGCCGGCCACATGGAGCTATTTGTTAGTTTGCCTCCTGGCATCAGCCCCCACCAATGGTGTAACTTTGGACAAGTTAGTTTAATATCTCTACATCTCAGTTTCCTCAACCGTAAAAATGGGAATAGCAACACTTGCCTTTCTGGGCTGCTTGAAAGATTAATGAGATAATATATACAAAAGTACCTAAAGTAGATGAAGACACATAGAAGGCACATACTAAACATTAGTTTATTTCTTTTTTCTGCTGCTATTAATTTTAAAAGCAAATGGATTGGATTTTATCTTTTTATTAAAAAAATCTAATTAAGTTGCTTTACACTTCTACAGTGAGACTATTGATCTATTTCCCCCTGTGGGTTAGTGGCCCTCCATAGAGGAAAAAGAGTTTTCAGAGATACTGAGATAATAAATCTGAAGTACTTCCTCACTCACATTAAGTGCTTATACCCATCCTGAGCCAGACGAGCATAGAGATGGTGCTCCTGAACCCTGGCCACACATTAGAATCATCTGGAGAAACTTCTAAAGAAACTTTTAAGAATACTGATCTTGAACCAGACCAGTGAGAACTCTGGCAGGGGTGGTTCTATGGTGCAGCAAGGCGAGAAGCGCTGTTTCCAATACACAGGTTCTGATTTCAGGGAGGCTGAATTCTTACGGAGACTGCCTCTGCCTCTTGAAGGTTTAGCTGGAGAGTGACAGATCTGTGGGGTCATTGCGTGCCTCCCATTGGGCCGAAGCCTTGAGGTGACAGTGGCAGGCATGAGTGGGATTCCAGGCAGGGACAGAGCGAAGCAGATGCGGTTTTTTAGTGTCAGGGGCCTTGAGCTGTGCATATGGGAATGTCTTCCTGCGCTCTGCTTTGTGAAACAGCAAGCGGGAGCCTGCAGAACTATTTAACATATAATGACATGCCTAACCTTGCCTAAAACTGTAACACTAATGACTTCACAGCGGCAACTTGAAGGGTCACTCTAAGCACAGAAATTAGGAATGCTTCTAATGGGTGAGAATTCGTTTTGCAGAAGGCAAATGATATCTTCTCCATAGGAACTGAACTGTTTTGGCTTCAGGGCTTTTGGAGGGAGAAGCCAAGTGAATGGTGATAATTTTAGACCTAGTGATTTAATTTAGAAAACACTGGTACTTCTTATTAAGTGCAACTGTATATATCTTTGGGATGTTTTCTTCTAACATGAATGACTTCATGTTTTCTACTTAATTCCGAGCCACTCAGTTCTGCTTCTAAGATGCACGCAGTCCATGAGGAGTCAGAGTGACACAATGACATCTGTGCTATGGTGGAACTGTGCTTTCTGAGGTTGCTGTGCCTTCCTAGTAGACATATCCAATAGTTAACTTGTCTCTCTGTATCTCACTTAACCTCTCGGCTTGCTGAACTTGCTATCATTGGTCACT